CAGTTCAGTTGAGAGAGAGAGAGAGAGAGAGAGAGAGAGAGAGAGAGAGAGAGAGAGAGAGAGAGAGAGAGAGAGAGAGAGAGAGAGAGAGAGAGAGAGAGATAGAGAGAGAGAGAGAGATAGAGATAGAGAGACGAGACTGAGATTCAGAGAGATAGACTGAGAGAGAGCGAGAAAGACTGAGGCAACGTGCTGCCGCCTCCTCCAGTCCTCCTGGGAAGTCTCTTGATGTAATGATCTTCTCTGGTCTGTCCTCGCTCCTGTCTGCTTCCCTCCTTCGACTCGCTTCCAGCTCCTCCTCCCTTTCTTTCTCCTCGAGCGTCAGCGTGGCGTCGGTGTCGGCTCGCCCCCTGCCCCTGGCCCCCCCCTCCCCCCCCTGCTCGCAGCCTGCTCCTGCTGGTGCTCCTCCTCCTCCTCCTCCTCCTCCTCCTCCCTCCTCTTCCTCCTCCTCCTCCCCCCCCCCCCTCCCTCCCTTCTCCTTCTCCCTCCTCCTCCTCCTCCTCCTCCTCCTCCTCCTCCTCCTCTCCTCCCCCCCTCCCTCCCCCCTCCGACTCCGCCCCCCCCAGCTCCCCCCCCCGCCCTCCCCCTGAAGAGAGGGTGGGGCAGGTGGCAGCCGCGAGCGGCGGCGGCGCCTTGGCGGCCGCGTTCGCCATGGGCGCCTCCAAGCCCACGGCGAAGCGCAGCGGCCGCGGCCGGGGCCGCGGGCGCCAGTGAGCAGCTATGTCATCTCCTCTTCCTGTCCGTCCTCCTGTTTGCCCCGTTCTCCACCGTCTCCACCCCGCGCCTCATCCTCGGTCTTTTCGGCTGTGAGTCCTCAGAAGGTGATGGGGAACGACGAGGTGTAGGAGGGGGAGGAGGAGGAGGAGGATGAGGAGGGAGGAGGGCCGCTGGGGAGGACGGTGCGCCCGCGGCCATAGGCCGCGCGCGACAAGATAGCGTGCACGGCCGCCGCGGCACGGCCGCCGGCCGCTGCCGAGACGCTCGAGGCTCGGGCGGCTTTGGTTTTTGCCCTCGGCCCTGTTCGAGTGGGAGGAGGGATAGGGACTGGAGTAGGTGGGGGGGGGAGGAGGAGGAGGGAGCGGGAAGAGCAGAGAGAAGGCGAGGTCAGACAGTGCCAGTAGAGCTCAGACGACGAGCTCGCGACTCTCTCAGTGTGCCGGGCACACTTCCTCCTCCTCCTCCTCCTCCATCCTCCCCCTCCCCCTCCTCCTCCTCCTCCTCCTCCTCCTCCTCCTCCTCCTCCCTCCTCCTCCCCCTCCTCCTCGTGCTGTTACTCCTCCTCCTCCTCCTCCACCTCCTCCTGCTCCTCCTCCTCCTCCTCCTCCTCCTCCTCCTCCTCCTCCTCCTCCCCCCCCCTTCTTCTCCTCCCTCCGACTTCTCCTTCTCGTCGTCGGCCCCCCTCCCGGGCGGCCCCGCGGCCCAAAGAGGGGGAAATATGAGAACAGGAGGGCGAGGAGGAGGGTGTTGCTGAACATTTGAGGTCAAGTTTCTTATTATTTCCACAGTGCCCTCGCCTTCCCCCTCCTCTCTCATTTCCTATTCGCTCAGACCCCTCAGCACTTCATCTTCATCTTTTGATTTCTTCCTGCCTCTCTTGCGCCCGGCCCGCCCCGCGCTGTCGCTGTTTGATTTTTTCTTCGGCGGCCGGAGGGCTGCGTCGCGAGGGCCCGCGCGGCGAAGCGCCGAGCGGGGCGAGGCGCGCCGCGGGCCACGCGGCGACGCCGCTTTCGGATGAAGCCCGCCAGGGGCTTGATGGCTTACAGCCTGAGAAATTTCGTGGCCGGCCCTGCGAGGATCGAGGATCGAGGAATGTTTTTTTTCGAAGTCTTTCTGCAATATCGTCGTCGATGGAAACTCAGAATTCCAGGTTCAAGTTCTCGCCGAAAGAAGCTCGGAGTCTGATTTAAAACAGTTTGATTTTGCTCGGCGCGATTTCGCCGAAGGAGGGCAAGTAACTCAGAGGTTGTATCCGTTTCACAAGAAATCGGTCGTCGATGAAAGAAATCCTGGCGCAACTCTCTGAATTCCTTGAAACAGGTCGTTCGTCTCATTTCGCGATCGCTTTTTTTTTTTGGGTGTTTTTTCAAGGGCTCCCAACTGTATACGTGCAGCGGCGGTTTTGTCTAGTCTAAGGTGCTTCTGAAGAGCCTCAGACCTAAGACCGCTCGGGCCGCCTGCTGGGTGCCTCTCGGAAGCCGTTCTGGTCTCCCTTGACATGCTGGGGGCCCTCTGATGCCCTGCTGGAAGCGTCGAGGGGGTCCCTTGGGCTGCCCCTTGTTGTGTGTCCCTGGGCCCCTTGAATGGTGTCCTCTCGGAGCAGTGCGTGGCGCGCGCTCATCCTTGCCAGTCTCGATGGGTCGAGCCCCCCCGCCGGGGCGACCTCTGGTACTCCCTCCCTTCACCTCCCGCCTCCTCCTCGTTTCAGATCGCCCGTGTGCCATCCTCATCCTCATCCTCCCGGTCCTCTTCTTTCTCCTCGTCTTCCTCGTATCTGCACTCCTGTGCTCGCCGCCCCGTTTCCTCCATCTCCTCACCCGCCTTCTCCTCTGCCCCGCTCCACGAGCAGCAGATACGCACCGCCTGTCGAGAACCTCGACCATCGATGATGGTGCCACGTGCAG